GCTAGGCCCTTGTTCTTTTTATTTTGCACGTGCTAGGCCCTTGTTCTTGCTATTTTGCAAACGCTATGCCCTTGTTCGTTTTATTTTGCACGTGCTAGGCCCTTGTTCTTGCTATTTTGCACACGCTATGCCCTTGTTCGTTTTATTTTGCACACGCTAGGCCCTTGTTCTTGCAATTTTGCACATGCTAGACCCTTGTTCTTTTTATTTTGCATTCGTTAGGCCCTTGTTCTTGCTATTTCGCGAACGCTAGGCCCTTGTTCTTGATTTTTCGCACACGCTAGGCCCTTGCTCTTGCTATTTTGCACTCGCTAGGCCCTTGTTCTTGCAATTTTGCACACGCTAGGCCCTTGTTCTTGCAATTTTGCACACGCTAGGCTCTTGTTCTTTTTATTTTGCACACGCTAGGCCCTTGTTCTTTTTATTTTGCACTCGCTAGGCCCTTGTTCTTGCTATTTTGCAAACACTATGCCCTTGTTCTGGCTATTTCGCGAAAGCTAGGCCCTTGCTCTTGCTATTTTGCACTCGCTATGCCCTTGTTCTTGCAATTTTGCACACGCTAGGCCCTTGTTCTTGCAATTTTGCACACGCTAGGCCCTTGTTCTTTTTATTTTGCACACGCTAGGCCCTTGTTCTTTTTATTTTGCACACGCTAGGCCCTTGTTCTTGCTATTTTGCACACGCTATGCCCTCGTTCTTTTTTTTTTGCACACACTAGGCCTTTGTTCTTTTTATTTTGCACACGCTAGGCCCTTGTTCTTGCTATTTAGCACACGCTATGCCCTTGTTCTTTTTATTTTGCACACGCTAGGCCCTTGTTCTTGCAATTTTGCATATGCTAGACCCTTGTTCTTTTTATTTTGCACACGCTAGGCTTTTGTTCTTGCCATTTCGCGAACGCTAGGCCCTTGTTCTTGATTTTTTGCACACGCTAGGCCCTTGCTCTTGCTATTTAGCACTCGCTAGGCCCTTGTTCTTGCAATTTTGCAGACGCTAGGCCCTTGTTCTTGCAATTTTGCACACGCTAGGCCCTTGTTCTTTTTATTTTGCACACGCTACGCCCTTGTTCTTGCGATTTTGCAAACGCTATGCCCTCGTTATTTTTTTTTTGCACACGCTAGGCCCTTGTTCTTGCAATTTTGCACATGCTAGACCCTTGTTCGTTATATTTTGCACATGCTATGCCCTTGCTCTTGCTATTTCACGAACGCTAGGCCCTTGTTCTTGATTTTTTGCACACCTAGGCCCTTCCTCTTGCTATTTTGCACTCGCTAGGCCCTTGTTTTTGCAATTTTGCACACGCTAGGCCCTTGTTCTTGCAATTTTGCACACGCTAGGCCCTTGTTCTTTTTATTTTGCACCCGCTAGGCCCTTGTTCTTTTTATTTTGCACATGCTAGGCCCTTGTTCTTGCAATTTTGGACATGCTAGACCCTTGTTCTTTTTATTTAGCACACGCTAGGCCCTTGCTCTTGCTATTTCGCGAACCCTAGGCCGTTGTTCTTGATTTTTTTCACACGCTAGGCCCTTGCTCTTGCTATTTTGTACTCGCTAGGCCCTTGTTCTTGCAATTTTGCATACGCTAGGCCCTTGTTCTTGCAATTTTGCACACGCTAGGCCCTTGTTCTTTTTATTTTGCACATGCTAGGCCCTTGTTCTTTTTATTTTGCACGCGCTAGGCCCTTGTTCTTGCTATTTTGCAAACGCTATGCCCTTGTTCGTTTTATTTTGCACGTGCTAGGCCCTTGTTCTTGCTATTTTGCACACGCTATGCCCTTGTTCGTTTTATTTTGCACACGCTAGGCCCTTGTTCTTGCAATTTTGCACATGCTAGACCCTGGTTCTTTTTATTTTGCACACGTTAGGCCCTTGTTCTTGCTATTTTGCGAACGCTAGGCCCTTGTTCTTGATTTTTCGCACACGCTAGGCCCTTGCTCTTGCTATTTTGCACTCGCTAGGCCCTTGTTCTTGCAATTTTGCACACGCTAGGCCCTTGTTCTTTTTATTTTGCACACGCTAGGATCTTGTTCTTTTTATTTTGCACACGCTAGGCCCTTGTTCTTGCTATTTCGCGAAAGCTAGGCCCTTGCTCTTGCTATTTTGCACTCGCTAGGCCCTTGTTCTTGCAATTTTGCACACGCTAGGCCCTTGTTCTTGCAATTTTGCACACGCTAGGCCCTTGTTCTTTTTATTTTGCACACGCTAGGCCCTTGTTCTTTTTATTTTGCACACGCTAGGCCGTTGTTCTTGCTATTTTGCACACGCTATGCCCTTGTTCTTTTTATTTTGGACATGCTAGGCCCTTGTTCTTGCAATTTTGGACATGCTAGACCCTTGTTCTTTTTATTTAGCACACGCTAGGCCCTTGCTCTTGCTATTTCGCGAACCCTAGGCCGTTGTTCTTGATTTTTTTCACACGCTAGGCCCTTGCTCTTGCTATTTTGTACTCGCTAGGCCCTTGTTCTTGCAATTTTGCATACGCTAGGCCCTTGTTCTTGCAATTTTGCACACGCTAGGCCCTTGTTCTTTTTATTTTGCACATGCTAGGCCCTTGTTCTTTTTATTTTGCACGCGCTAGGCCCTTGTTCTTGCTATTTTGCAAACGCTATGCCCTTGTTCGTTTTATTTTGCACGTGCTAGGCCCTTGTTCTTGCTATTTTGCACACGCTATGCCCTTGTTCGTTTTATTTTGCACACGCTAGGCCCTTGTTCTTGCAATTTTGCACATGCTAGACCCTTGTTCTTTTTATTTTGCACACGTTAGGCCCTTGTTCTTGCTATTTTGCGAACGCTAGGCCCTTGTTCTTGATTTTTCGCACACGCTAGGCCCTGGCTCTTGCTATTTTGCACTCGCTAGGCCCTTGTTCTTGCAATTTTGCACACGCTAGGCCCTTGTTCTTGCAATTTTGCACACGCTAGGATCTTGTTCTTTTTATTTTGCACACGCTAGGCCCTTGTTCTTGCTATTTCGCGAAAGCTAGGCCCTTGCTCTTGCTATTTTGCACTCGCTAGGCCCTTGTTCTTGCAATTTTGCACACGCTAGGCCCTTGTTCTTGCAATTTTGCACACGCTAGGCCCTTGTTCTTTTTATTTTGCACACGCTAGGCCCTTGTTCTTTTTATTTTGCACACGCTAGGCCGTTGTTCTTGCTATTTTGCACACGCTATGCCCTTGTTCTTTTTATTTTGGACACGCTAGGCCCTTGTTCTTGCAATTTTGCACATGCTAGACCCTTGTTCTTTTTATTTTGCACACGTTATGCTTTTGTTCTTGCCATTTCGTGAACGCTAGGCCCTTGTTCTTAATTTGTTGCACACGCTAGGCCCTTGCTCTTGCTATTTTGCACTCGCTAGGCCCTTGTTCTTGCAATTTTGCACACGCTAGGCCTCTGTTCTTGCAATTTTGCATACGCTAGGCCCTTGTTCTTTTTTTTTTGCGCACTCTAGGCCCTTGTTCTTGCTAGTTTGCAAACGCTATGCCCTCGTTCTTTTTTTTTTTTGTACACGCTAGGCCCTTGTTCTTGCAATTTTGCACATGCTAGACCCTTGTTCGTTATATTTTGCACACGCTAGGCCCTTGTTCTTGCTATTTTACGAATGCTAGGCCCTTGTTCTTGATTTTTTGCTCACGCTAGGCCCTTCCTCTTGCTATTTTGCACTCGCTAGGCCCTTGTTCTTGCAATTTTGCACACGCTAGGCCCTTGTTCTTGCAATTTTGCACACGCTATGCCCTTGTTCTTTTTCTTTTGCACACGCTAGGCCCTTGTTCTTGAAATTTTGCAACGCTAGGCCCTTGTTCTTTTTATTTTGCACACGCTAGGCTCTTGTTCTTGCTATTTTGCACACGCTATGCCCTTTTTCTTTTTATTTTGCACACGCTAGGCCCTTGTTCTTTTTATTTTGCACACGCTAGGCCCTTGTTCTTGCTATTTTGCACACGCTATGGCCTTGTTCTTTTTATTTTGCACACGCTAGGCCCTTGTTCTTTTTATTTTGCACACGCTAGGCCCTTGTTCTTGCTATTCTGCACACGCTATGCCTTTGTTCTTTTTATTTTGCACACGCTAGGCCCTTGTTCTCGCAATTTTGCACATGCTAGACCCTTGTTCTTTTTATTTTAAACACGCTAGGCCCTTGTTCTTGCTATTTCTCGAACGCTAGGCCCTTGTTCTTGATTTTTCGCACATGCTAGGCCCTTGCTCTTGCTATTTTGCACTCTCTAGGCCCTTGTTCTTGCAATTTGGCACACGCTAGGCCCTTGTTCTTGCAATTTTGCACACGCTAGGCCCTTGTTCTTTTTATTTTGCACACGCTAGGCCCTTGTTCTTGCTATTTTACAAACGCTATGCCCTCGTTCTTTTTTTGTTTTGCACACGCTAGGCCCTTGTTCGTTATATTTTGCACACGCTAGGCCCTTGTTCTTGATTTTTCGCACACGCTAGGCCCTTGCTCTTGCTATTTTGCACTCGCTAGGCCCTTGTTCTTGCAATTTTGCACACGCTAGGCCCTTCCTCTTGCTATTTTGCACTCGCTAGGCCTTTCTTCTTGCAATTTTGCAAACGCTAGGCTCTTGTTCTTTTTATTTTGCACACGCTAGGCCCTTGTTTTTTTTATTTTGCACTCGCTAGGCCCTTGTTCTTGCTATTTTGCAAACGCTAGACCCTTGTTCGTTATATTTTGCACACGCTACGCCCTTGTTCTCGCCATTTCGCGAACGCTAGGCCCTTGTTCTTGATTTTTTGCACACGCTAGGCCCTTCCTCTTGCTATTTTGCACTCGCTAGGCCTTTGTTCTTGCAATTTTGCACACGCTAGGCTCTTTTTCTTTTTATTTTGCACACGCTAGGCCCTTGTTCTTTTTATTTTGCACACGCTAGGCCCTTGTTCTTTTTATTTTGCACACGTTAGGCCCATGTTCTTGATTTGTTGCACACGCTAGGCCCTTGCTCTTGCTATTTTGCACACGCTAGGCCCTTGTTCTTGCAATTTTGCACACGTTAGGC